TCCTTTGACTAGACTCAAATACAATCCCATCATAACATAGTTAGCAACAGTCTGTCAGGGTGCAGGGTGCAAATGCTGCTTATGCACCAAGAAAACTGCATTATTTACCTAGTTAAATGACATAAAAAGTAAAAACAAAATCACCATGATAGGCAAGGAACATTATTTAGATGAGATAAAAGATTGTATCTCCTAAAGTCAGGAGCTAGATCCCAAGGCCTGTGAGGACACTTGCTTGCTTGTCCTTAGTTACAATTTTCAACCTAATAATAAATATACTGCGTGTCAGTTGTGCACATTTATAATCTGTACCTGAAAATATAATCTTCCTAGGGTTCCTTCTTTAAGTACAGCTTCCTCAATGTGTTTTATACTAGGATCATGTGTTTGATACAGTCATGGATTCAGTTTAAAAAGATAACAATTGTAGTCCTTGTTTTAGCCTGTTTCTATTAAATTCAGATTTCACTTTTTTCTTTTGTTTTAAAACAATCTTACATTAACTAAATAGCAATAATAATAATAATAATAATAATAATAAAAAAAATAAAAAAATCTGGCTTCAAAAAACAACATCAATCATTCATCCCATTTCAGCTTCAAAATAAAATGCAACTCCCTAGCATTTTAGGGTAGATGAAATAGCAGCACTACTTACAGGGAGGATGACTAATGCCATATAGAGAATTTCAAAGACAGAGACTGGATCTTCTAACAAATCCAACTCTGATCAAAGCATCTGTTTGACATTTAAAGCCCTAACCAGATTTCAGCTCCTGCGTACTTGAAGGATTGCCTCTGCCATGGGCTCTGATATCATCAGTGATTACAGCTCACAAACACATGTTCATTGAGATTGGTGGGTATTTTGATATTTTCTATTGTTTAGACTGATTTTAATTTGGCAGAGCAATCCAAGCAATGGGGAAGCAAACTGATTCACGCCCACCAGCCATATGCTGGGACCACCTTTTCAAATCCCATGCTGAAGGGAGTGTTTTTCACCAGTGAGATCTCTCCTCTACTGGGTGTGTTATGTGCTTGTGGGTGTACTGTATTCTGCATCCTGCCACACCTCAGCCTGGTATATTTGGGGATTGAAGGGCAAGTTATATTATTACTGTTAAAGCCAAATGCTATCAATAAAATTCACAAAATGGATATTGAGGAGAGAGATTTCCTGAAGCAGATTCTTTGGATAACAGACGAACAGTTCAATACTGTACTATGCATGCCTACTCTGGTGTATGTTCCATGTTCAGCATAGTAAACATCCATTAAGATTGCAGCCTTTGACTTTTAAGGTGACTTTCAACTTCAGTACTGGTTGCTACAGCCAAACAACTGAACTAGGAAGTTCTGAACCATTATGGGGTGAAATATGAGCAACATGTTTACAATGTTGTTTTACACAAACCTGGGCAAGGCGTAGCAATGTGTGTTCCTGAATGAACCTTGAGGATATCTGACTCAGCCTTTTGGCTAAGATCAAGTGTGAAATGGGAAAAAATGCCAAAGGGCAAAAATTACAGCACATACTAAGGGGGTGAGAGGAGTTCTTTTTTTAAAAAAAGTAAAAATATTTCAATACAGATATTTGGATTGAATTCTTTATAATTATTGTAATAACAAAAAGGAATATTAATTCTAAAGCCAGTAAACCTAGCATCTTATATACAGTGTTAGAAACTCAGATATGTAAGTTAGGTGCCAAATGGCTCCTTAAGCCAGGGTTACAGTTGCCAAAACAGAATGCCTAGATGCCATTTTGAGGCCATCCGGTTCGAAAGCCATGTTTTTCAATACAGCTTGTTGGTTCCTGAAATTCATTCTGATTGTGCAGAAGAACTGATACAATTATACAGGACATGTTGCTAGTGTGTGAAAACAGTCAAGACCCAAGGATTCCCAGGCATGCACCTCCAGATGGTGGAGATGTCAGGCACCCTCTTGGTGTCCAGGCATCTTCACTTGATTGCAGGTGGCCGATAGGCAAGTGCAAAATTTACCTGATGAATTTTCATCGCTGCTTATATAACAATCAGGGTGTACTTTAGTTCAAACCGAAGGGTAGTTGGGTAATTTTAGACTCTGGGCTTGACTGTCTTCCAATATCATGTCCAGCCTTTTTAGATGGTAGTGTGTATTATGTGCTTTGTTTACTTCAAAAAGTGATAAAGCCACTCCTGCTGTTTCAAGGTCCCTCTGCTCATTCTGCTAAGTAGGGCCAGAAACTTCTGCCCCAAGATACAGTCATACCTCGGGTTGAATGTGCTTCAGGTTGAGTGCTTTCGGGTTGCACTCCGCGGCAACCCGGAAGTAATGGAGCGCGTTACTTCCGGGTTTCACCACTCGCGCATGTGCAGATGCTCAAAATGACATCACGCGCATGCAGGGAAGCGGCAAAACGCGACCCACGCACGCGCAGACATGCCGTCGCGTCTTACGTTCTGTTCAGGATGCGAACGGGGGTCCGGAACAGATCCCGTTCGCATCCTGAGGTACCACTGTACTGATAACTTGGACACAGAATACCATCCCTAAAACCTTAGCTTCCACTGTACATTTTTAAAAAGATGTTTCTAGTCTTGAAAACTAGGAGCAGGTGGGGTGGTGAAACACTGCTGTGGAGTGCCACTGCAGCTTACAAGGACAGGGTCAGGCAGGAACAAGGAAAGGGCTGCAGGAATGCACAGGCAGGGCCAATCTTGCACTCTTGTCATTGCACCCATAAGCACTGACCTCACCTCTGCCCTGCCCCACCCTCCTGGTAAGCTGCAGCTACACCAGTCAGTGTCAGGAGGACAACTCAGTAGCACCCTCCCACCACACCAGCTGCTCCCGTCAAAACTGCAGTGGGCACTATATGCAGAATAGTTACATGCAAGACTCTTAAAACTCAAGGGCACAAGGCAGTCTTCCAATGGTTAGGAAACAAGGTTTTACTATCCCAAAAGGGTTCCCAGTGTTTTCTCGCATAGTTGCTATTCCTTCTTGCATCAACAATAAAATCTAATATTCCCTTTCTTCTCTGGAATTCCACTTCTTGCCAAATTCTTTTAAAATTCCAGTCTTAGAAGCAAAAACTCACTACACCAATTTACAGTATTCAGGAAATGCAATTCATTCTGCAACTATAAAAGTTGTGTGTGATGCCCAAATGCCTTGTACACGTTGCATGAGGCAGTAGGTATCTGATTTCTTGTTGCCCTGATCCCACAGAGAACTGTCACCACCATGCTCGAAGTTCAGCAGCAACAAGTGAATTCATGAATGGCATCTTGTAGCAGGTAACGCGTAACATTTTCTGTTGTAAGTCTCCTTATTCATTCATATATTTTTCTCCCCCTTGTTTCCAATTCCACAATGAGAGTATTGCTGAGTGCCACAAGGAAAGGTGTAACTTGGTTTTGCCCCCTGGATTTGGGGAGAATCTCCTGAACTACTCTAAGATCAAAGTCTTTCTGAGGAACAGAACCAGCCCCTTGAACTACTTCTAAAACAGCTACACCTATAGTTAAGATGTAAAAAGCCCTACCTTGGACCATTTGCCATCCTCTCTGTCCAAAGTAAGGACTAAAATGTCTGTGTTATCCTTACACAAAAGATCATCAGAACATTAAGCCTTTCCTCCTCCTGGATTGTGGATGATGGGAGCTCTATCATCACCAGGATGACATCCTGCAAGCCAGTTTGCCAGCTCTTGGGCTTCAAGAACTGCCTTTCCCTTCTTTTCACATCTGTGGTATGTTAACTCCCAAACCAAGTTTTCAGAAGCATGCCCCTACTCACAATCCAGGCTTTTTCTTTGAGAGTCTTGGAGGGGATGATGCCCTATAGCATCTATGAAGTAGGACTAGAAGAGTGTGAGGAAGAGACTTCATGGCTTCATTTAAACGGCTGTCCAGGCACTTCTGGCAGCAGCCTCTGGCACACCTCAGTTCACCTCAGCTCTTATAGCTCTGCTAAGGATCTTCTTGACCCACTCAGTGAAATCAGGGTGAACTGAGGTCCCTCCAACCACCCTTACATTAGGGTTTGGGGTTTAAGGGAGTAAAACAACTCTACAAAGAAGTCCAATGTTTCATATATTTGATCTCTACAATTCATTCTACAAGCAGAATTTTTCTTGGCACATTTTTTTTTGGGGGGGGGTGTAGTGTACATACAGCACTACACAGAGTTAATAAGGTTGTGCTTTGTACAGTCACTAGTCAAGAAGTCAATGTAATGTAGCAGCCAGATAGTTGGACAGAGGCAGGGAAAACCCAAGATCATACTCCTCTGTAGTCATGAAGCTATGAGTGATACAGGGCCAGTCACAAACTCTTGACCCGGTTTATGTCATAGGGCTGTTACAAGCAAGGATAAAATAAGATAACCCCTATACACACCACGCTGAGCTCTTTATAGAAGGGGCAGGATAAAAATATAACACACAGGCCTATTGCTGTCAATAATCACACATGCCCTATTCATCTGGGTTGGTAAATCCATGTATTATTTCCTATTCCTCAATTTGGCAATCCATGTTTGATCTTTATTATATTAGAGTCTGACCACACTGGCTTCTGTATTCAAAGTTAATAACCAGTCTCCCACAGAGACTGGAAGAAAATATTTAATTCCATGTACAAAAACTTCAACTTTAGAAACTAAATTTTAAGTGCCCTGTCAGAAAATTAACAATTCTGTGCAAAGAGAGATTAATTGGTAATAGGTTCAGATATACTTCTTCACGTAATGCACAGAAGAGGGTGGCATGAAAGCAAACACCAACAACAATGCCTGTTTCAGCTGGGCTGCCCCTTTCCCCCATAGGGCCACTTCATTTCTAGATAGAAGTTTATTTCATAGAATTGTAGAACTGGAAGGGACCACAAGGCTCATCTAAATCCAACCTCCTGCAGTGCAAGAATCTTTCACACAATGTGAGGCTCAACACTGTGACTGTGGGATTAAGAATCTCTTAAGAGTCTCATGCTCTCTCGACTGAGCAAGGAAAGTGGCTTCCCCATTTCATTTATTCACAAGAGAAGGCTAGAAATAAGCCCGCCCCCACTCTTTTTTCTGGACAGTTGGCAACATTAGGAAGAGGACTTAAAGATCTTGCCAGGTTTACTGTCGGCTTTGGGAATCCCTCAAAAAGAGTGTCTTGGGAATAGAGCTTCAGGAGACAGTGTTTGGCGGCATGTTATCTGTGGAAGGCAGTAGCCTTAGGGTAAGAAAATGTTTTGACATGTTGAGATTCCTTTGCCAACTGCCAGCTTAGTCAAACTGTTTTAAGTTTTGGAAAGTCTGGTCAGGTATCTTCCTAGGCTGATGGCACTGAGGGTTGCCGTGAGACTTAACTGTGTGTACTGATTTAACATAACTTATGGCTGCTTTAGCATAATGTGTGACAAGCTTTCTCCCCACGCTCTTTTTATGTGATGAACTGGTGAGTGTGAATTTAGGACTGAGGTAACCACATCACCTGGAGGGATTTGAAGACTGGCCTTCAGTGCCTTGCAGATTGTCTACCAAATTTGCAGGGATTCCTCTGTCTGTTCATCTCTTGTCAAAAACATTTTGGGTGGGTGGGTATGACTCTCCAAATTCCCTACATCACCTAACTGTGCGTAAGTTTCAAAAGCTTTTTCTGTTATCCTGCCTAAATCTGCTGTGTCTCAACTTGATTCTTGCCCTTCCCTTGTGACTCAGGTGAACAGCTCCATGTGATCTTTATTGCAGTCTAGATATTTGCCAACTGATATCATGTAGTGCTTTAATCTTCATTTCTCTAAGCTAAACAAGCGCAGTTCCACCAACTTTTCCTTATGTCATAAATTCTGGACTCTTTGTTGTATCTAGTTGTATGCGTTGCTATCCAACATGCTCTCTGGATTTGTTTCTCTCCTCCTCTCCCGCTTTTAAAGTGTGGTGACTAAAAGCAGGTATGATACATCTGTGTCATAACCAGCACCAGTTTGGTTCTGTTGTAAATATTACCTTCTGGTAAAAACGTGCCTGCGTAGAAATATGAGCATCAGCTTGATTCTTGGTTTATTGGTGATCAGACCTGGAACAGGTGATTTTAGAAATATTTTTCATCTTTTTTCTGCAAGTATGGAAGATGAGCCTTCCTGGATTGAATCAAATGTCTATTTGGTCCAGCATTCTGATTCCCGCAGTGGTCAGACGGATTCTTCTGGCATATTATATGCATGCAATGGCATTTCCTGACATTCTCCTAGCACAGGACCTCTCAAAATGTTGGCTGGCTAGCTCCCTCTTGCCATCCTGTCTCGTCTTCTGTCCGTTTGGCTAGTCTTTTCAATGGCCATGGACGCATCGTGTGCCAGGGTTCATTTATACAGGCAGTTTTACAATACAGTAAAATGACATCCCTATGGGGCCCCGGGATGGCACCCCACCCAGCCCGCGGGTCCGGGGGGGGGGCTTCTCACCCTCCGAGCCCCATCTCTCGCGCCCCCCTCCCAGCCGCTCTCCCCCTCCGTTGCCAGGCAATGGCACGGCGCCCCCCGCCCCCTCAGGAACCGTGGCGAGGGCAGCGCCCCCGTCGTCAAGGCAACGCACCAGCTCCCGTACCTCGCGCCGCCACCGCCCACCGCTCGCTCGCGAGGCTTCGTCCACCTTCCGCCCGTCCGTCCGTCTCTCCGACGGCCGCTTCAGAGGAAGCGCCGCCCCTCGACTCCACCGGCGAGCCCGGGGGCGGGGCCAGGAGGCAAAAGCCCCGCCCCGAGACATCGAGCCCGGGAGGCCTAGAGAAAACGGGGGAGGGCGGAAGGCGAGGATGCTGGGAAGGCGGCGGAACGGGAAGAGGGGGCGGGGTTCCTGCTCAGCTTTGGCAATGGGAGGGGCTGCGAAGGCGGCAGGGGAAGCTCGCTCGGGAATGTTGTGCCGCCTTCCTCGCCCGTCTGTCTCTCACACAAACGCAACTCTTTCGATAACTGACTGGGTGGTTTTGGTTGTTGTCCGTTGGCAGCAACTCGACAGAAAGGGCTCTCTTCAGAAAACGGCCCGCTTCCCGCCCTGGCCTCTGCAGGCTTGCTCCAGACATGTTGTCAGGGTTGCACTCAAGACTCCCAGTCAGTTGCAGGGGGTTGGACTAGATGACCGTTGGGATCCCTTCCAACTCGACAGTTCTCTACACAGAATGCGACTCTTGCTTTTCTCTTACGTCTGCTCTCGTCTGAAGCCCTCTCTTCAACTGGAGGGCTGCAGTCAGCCGCTGGGCTATAGCCCCATCTAAGCTGGGCTGCTGCAGCAGCACCTCTCTTAAATATCTGGGGGGGGGGATAAGAAAGAGGCCTCCCTGGGCATTTATGGCAGGTCTGAAAAGGCTTAAAGCTACTAATCTAAAGAATTTCATGTCAACGCTTACATAAATTTGCTTACGACAAGAGAAATCCGTTTCAAGTTATATTGCTTACATTTTGGACATAGGTACTGCATTTGAACATGACTTTAATTAACTTCAGTAGGCCACCTTATCCGATTCAAGTCTATGAAAGCAAAGTTCATAAGCCAGACTCCAGGCTATTAAACATCTAATGCAGGCCTATAGAAAGATCATAGTTGGTCATAACATTGCCGCCTGTTGGTACTTTTAATGGAGAATTCATGTTTCAGGAGATGATTAGAAATTGTTTGAGCAAGCACCAGTCCCTGCTGCATATACAGGGGAAGGCAGCTTTTCTAAGTAGTAAAAAGTAAACAGAGTATGCATTCAAAATACAGGAGCAAGTAAGGGTTACTTCTCTCATAGAGAAGTAATGCAATTTGTTGATAATCCACAGTTAAGAAAAACAAATTTCTGTGTACAGTGGTACCTCGGGTTAAGTATTTAATTCGTTCCGGAGGTCCGTACTGTTACGGCTAAATCTGGGTGCGGGGCTACACTGCCACCCAGCTCGTCGGACTAGTGTCCGCGGGTCCCTGCGGAAGAAAATGAGCTCAGCCGGACATACTTAACCTGAAATTGTTATTAACCTGAAGCACCACTTTAGCTAATGGGGCCTCCCGCTGCCGCCACGCCGCCAGAGCATGATTTCTGTTCTCATCCTGAAGCAAAGTTCTTAACCTGAAGCATTATTTCTGGGTTAGCGGAGTCTGTAACCTGAAGCGTATGTAACCCGAGGTACCACTGTATTACATATTTACAGGATTTTAACTCTGCTCCGTAATCAAAGAGGCCCCCAGAGTGGTTTACATAGTCCAGGGACCAGAGGAGTCTGCTGGGAACTGATCTTCCAGCACAGACAATCAAATGGCTGCTGCTAGATGATGAGGGAGCGAAGAACCCAGTGCAGCTGATAGGATCATAATGGGATCCCATGTGTGGATAAATTCTTCCCTCCTAGCAAACACAAGTGAATGCATATGGGATGTCTCATTTTATCCTCAATAACTGAGAAATGTTAAACAAATAATTTGTCCAAGGTCATCCTGTGCTCTTCAGCACTGAGCAGATATATAAACCCAACTCATCCCGGTATAGGTTGGCAGTCATGTCCATTTTCCAATTCTGACTTTAACAAAGCATTAAATAGTTAAGAGAAGATGATATTACTGCTGGATAATAATAATAATAATAATAATAATAATAATAAATTTTGATTTTGATTTAAAAACCGGGCTCAGGGCAGCTAACAGCAAATATAAAACATATATATAAAACATTGATTAAAATGCGACTTGAAAACAGCATAATCCATGATCCAAATAACTTAGACCCTCCAAGTGTCTCAATTTTCCAGGCACAGTCCTGGATTTACAGAAGCCATCACAGTTTCTGATTTGACCCCAGAATTTTTTTTTGGGGGGGGGGATGCAGTGACTCCTGAGCCAAGGAGATAAGTAACTATACAACCTTTAAAAGACATCTGAGGGCAGACCTGTACAGCAAAGTTTTTAAAAATGGTTTATTGTGTTTTTATGTATGTTGGAAGCCACCCACAGTGGGCAACCCAGTCAGATGAGTGGAGTATATTGTTGTTGAATAGGGCATCCTTATTTTCATTGGAGAAATGTTGGCGGGTATGTATAACTGTCATGGCTCGCAGTGCAATAAAAACCATGGATCAGATCAGTCAAATTCATCATTTTGTCCCATAGTGAACGGCTGGTCTGTCCATAATTTGCCAAATTAAAAGGTAGTTTTTTGGTGCCTGTAATACTGCACATAGGGTACTTAAATGCCATGACTTCTATGCTAATTGCTAATGTAGACTATTACTGGAGGCAAACTGATTATGCTGTCTTCCTCACTGATATCTGCAACTGATTTGTTTTCATGAAAATAGATGGGCATAGTACTTCAATAGGAGATTTATTGTCCAGATTATTTCTAATACAGGTAAAGAACTGATATAAGTAAAAAAAACCTGCTCCTTTTCCCTTATGGGGTACCCAAGAGCCCATATAGAGTCCTTTTGTAGGTTCTCTAGCGGTAGGAGAAAATAACAGAGACCAACCAGAGAATATTGAGAAGAAAAGCAGCTAGTAAGCCTGATCTTTATTAACTGTTGCAATAGGGTGCTCCCCCACACGCAGGAGAGAGGAGGAGGACCCAGAACAAAGGTGTGCCCACCCTTATATAGACATTTTAAATTGCCCGCCCTGGTGTCCAAGACCACCCCCAGAAACATCATACATACATCACAGAAAAGGTGGTCTACAACAGAAATCTGAGTGCGTTGTTTATCTCCTGTCTGGCAAGTTACCTGATTGCATTATCTGGATTTTGGCTACTCTTTTGTTATTATAACTACTTAATTCCTGAATCTAGGTCACAGGTCACAGGCTCACACCATGTTCATATCTTGAATGTGCCCTTAAGACAGGATTGGTGAGGAAAGAGACAATGGGGAGGTTTCCCACTTTGACCTTGCAGAGAATTATTTGAGGTCAATTTGTTCAGGACCTAATCTGTGGGGTTTCAGACATGTGGTTTATATATACAGTGGTACCTCTGGTTACGTACTTAATTCGTTCCGGAGGTCCATTCTTAACCTGAAACTGTTCTTAACCTGAAGCACCACTTTAGCTAATGGGACCTCCTGCTGCCACTGCGCCGCTGCCGCCCAATTTCTGTTCTCATCCTGAAGCAAAGTTCTTAACCCGAGGTACTATTTCTGGGTTAGCAGGGTCTGTAACCTGAAGCGTATGTAACCCGAGGTACCACTGTACAGTTATGAACATTTAATTTTTTTATATATGACCTTAAAATTCTTATAACAGAACTATTAGCTTTCTTGTGAAATACTCTAATTTTAAAGAAACTCTGTTTTAGTGGCAAGGCACTGAGACTCCAAAAACACTTATTATATGTATTTTCTTTTTCTTTTGTATTTTCTTTTGTTGTAAATAGGTATGTTTTCTAATTTGTGCTTAATAAAAAATATTTTTAACAAAACAAAACAAAAACACTTATTATTTGGGGGACTAAAAAAGAAGTGAGGAGAAGAAAGCCCAAGACATTTTCATAACCATAACATTTAAACATTTCACAAGCAGGAAACACTATTAAGTAGTGTTGCTTGAAGTTACTTCCTTTTATTATTACAAATAGAACTGTGGCATATGTAAAGAAGAGGAATATTCGTTGTGTGTTAAAAGTCACAATGTTCTAGAAGATGTAACAGCTATTCAAAATGAAGCGCCTCTGGTTAGTATTATTTTTTGAAGAAGCATTTGTTTTCAAAACCAGTGGGCAATGTAGATTTATTTGAGAGACATATTTTCTCTCATAAATTAATCAGTACAAATTGTTCAGCTGCAAAACCTTAATAGGACATTATGTTCAATTTCTCTTTCTATCATGATGGAAATTGTTGTGTACATGATGTTCCAGTGACCTTTCCTCTACTTCCAGATCAGCAGAATTACTCCTGAATCTGATAGTATTGTCTGAACCCTATTGTTAGAGAACTCACATGAACTGTTCGCTGGGGGAGGGTTTCCTGTAGTATCAAGTGAGTCAAGAGCTACACAGACAGAGAGAGAGTCATATTACAAGACACTAACAGGTTATTTAGTTTCTTGAATACAAATCACTTACCATAACATAATGTTACAAAGTGATTTACAAGAATAATGTACAAGAAGAAAATACAGTGATATAGTAATAAAATAATAATAATAAAGATAACACTAATAGTAAAAACATCCTTTCCAGCTATTCTTGAATTTGGTTCTGAGGATAACACAAATTGTTGTATGTCAAGCAAATTCCCAATTATCTGGCATATTAAGAAATTCCCAGATTTTGATCCATTGTGTGACTCAGTTTCCCAATTCATGGCTAAGTGTGGATGAACAAGTGAGCATGTGGATATTCACAAAAAATAATAATCCATCCACTTTCTTTCTACCCAGGTCCTGCTGCTGTTGCTGTGCTACTCGGAGCTAAGCAGTGTTTGACTTAGGGTTATGTCCAATCCAGGGCTCAAGGGTTGTTTGCCCGCCCCCCAGACAAACCACAAGTGGTAACCGAAGTACACACCTCGGTTATGTGGGAGTAAGGCAACAATGCATGTGATAAGTTACCTGACCTGGAGGGGGGGCAGTGGCAGCAATAGACAGGAAGGCAACCTATTCTTCTTTCACTGATTCCTTCTTGAGTAATGACTTGCTGTCATTAAAGTGTGTTTCCCTAGGCTTTACTTTCCTCCATCTTCAGTCAGTTGGTATCAGACCTTCCTTTGCTAACCTCATCCACATGTAAGCTTGTATTAATAATGGTTTTGTTTGCCAGGGGGGAAAAACTTCAGGTTTTTTTTATTCTTTCAACCAGCAGTTTTACCAAACTATTTACTTCTGTACTTTTTTATTATCAGGGTGACTGGGGCAACCCAGCTGAATGGGCAGGGTATAAATAATAAAATTATTATTATTATCATTATTATTAATATACTGATGCTTTTGAATTATGGTGCTGGAGGAGACTCGAGAGTCCCATGGGCTGCAAGAAGATCAAACCTCTCCATTCTGAAGGAAATCAGCCCTGAGTGCTCACTGGGAGGACAGATCCTGAAGCGTAGGCTCCAATACTTTGGCCACCTCATGAGAAGAGAAGACTCCCTGGAAAAAACCTCTGATGTGGGAAAGATTGAGGGCACAAGGAGAAGGGGACGAGAGAGGACAAGATGGTTGGACAGTGTTCTCGAAGCTACTAATATGAGTTTGACTAAACTGCGGGAGGCAGTGGAAGACAGGAGTGCCTGGCGTGCTCTGGTCCATGGGGCAACACAACTAAACAACAACTGCTCTTCATCTGAAGATCTCAGGTCTGTTCACAGCACATATATCACTTCACTGATATGTACACCAAACTCCAACAGGCTTCTAGAGCGCAGCAAACCATGAGCCTGAGTTTAGATGTAATGCTAAGTCAAACCATGGCTTGCAGGGCCCCCAAAGCAAATGCAATTTTTGCTGTAAATGCTACATGCTCTTTCGTGCTTAGGTATGATTTGGTTTAAAACAATGTATGAACCAAACCAGAGGGATCGTTGCAGAGCTCAATGCAGTCTTCTATTCCCTTCTATGTTTTGCTATGAGATATTTTGTTGTTGTTTAGTCATTTAGTCGTGTCCGACTCTTCGTGACCCCATGGACCATAGCACGCCAGGCACCTCTGTCCTCCACTACCTCCCGCAGCTTGGTCAAACTCATGCTGGTAACCTCGAAAACACTATCCAACCATCTCGTCCTCTGTCGCCCCCTTCTCCTTGTGCCCTCCATCTTTCCCAGCATCAGTGTCTTCTCCAGGGAGTCTTCTCTTCTCATGAGGTGGCCAAAGTACTGGAGCCTCAGCTTCACGATCTGTCCTTCCAGTGAGCACTCAGGGCTGATTTCCTTAAGAATGGATGCGTTTGATCTTCTTGCAGTCCATGGGACTCTCAAGAGTCTTCTCCAGCACCATAGTTCAAAAGCATCAATTCTTCGGCGATCAGCCTTCTTTATGGTCCAGCTCTCACTTCCATACATCACTACTGGAAAAACCATGGCTTTAACTATATGGACCTTTGTTGGCAAGGTGACGTCTCTACTTCTCAAGATGCTGTCTAGGCCTGTCATTGCCCTTCTCCCAAGAAGCAGGCGTCTTTTAATTTCGTGACTGCTGTCACCATCTGCAGTGATCATGGAGCCCAAGAAAGTAAAATCTCTCACTGCCTCCATTTCTTCCCCTTCTATTTGCCAGGAGGTGATGAGACCCGTGGTCATGATCTTCGTTTTTTTGATGTTGAGCTTCAGACCATATTTTGCGCTCTCCTCTTTCACCCTCATTAAAAGGTTCTTTAATTCCTCCTCACTTTCTGCCATCAAGGTTGTGTCATCTGCATATCTGAGGTTGTTGATATTTCTTCCGGCAATCTTAATTCCAGCTTGGGATTCATCCAGCCCAGCCTTTCGCATGATGTATTCTGCATATAAATTAAATAAGCAGGGAGACAAAATACAGCCTTGTCGTACTCCTTTCCCAATTTTGAACCAATCAGTTGTTCCATATCCAGTTCTAACTGTAGCTTCTTGTCCCACATAGAGATTTCTCAGGAGACAGATGAGGTGATCAGGCACTCCCATTTCTTTAAGAACTTGCCATAGTTTGCTGTGGTCGACACAGTCAAAGGCTTTTGCATAGTCAATGAAGCAGAAGTAGATGTCTTTCTGGAACTCTCTAGCTTTCTCCATAATCCAGCGCATGTTTGCAATTTGGTCTCTGGTTCCTCTGCCTCTTCTAAATCCAGCTTGCACTTCTGGGAGTTCTCGATCCACATACTGCTTGAGCCTTCCTTGTAGAATTTTAAGCATAACCTTGCTAGTGTGTGAAATGAGTGCAATTGTGCGGTAGTTGGAGCATTCTTTGGCACTGCCCTTCTTTGGGATTGGGATGTAGACTGATCTTCTCCAATCTTCTGGCCACTGCTGAGTTTTCCAAATTTGCTGGCATATTGAGTGTAGCACCTTAACAGCATCATCTTTTAAATTTTTAAATAGTTCAGCTGGAATACCATCACTTCCGCTGGCCTTGTTATTTGCAGTGCTTTCTAAGGCCCATTTGACTTCACTTTCCAGGATGTCTGGCTCAAGGACAGCAACCACACTACCTGGGGTGTACGAGACATCCATATCTTTCTGGTATAATTCCTCTGTGTATTCTTGCCACCTCTTCTTGATGTCTTCTGCTTCTGTTAGGTCCTTACCACTTTTGTCCTTTATTATGGTAATCTTTCTACGAAATGTTCCTTTCATATCTCCAATTTTCTTGAACAGATCTCTGGTTCTTCCCATTCTGTTGTTTTCCTCTATTTGTTTGCATTGCTCGTTTAAGAAGGCCTTCTTGTCTCTCCTTGCTATTCTTTGGAAATCTGCATTCAATTTCCTGTATCTTTCACTATTTCCCTCACATTTTGCTTGCCTTCTCTCCCCCGCTATTTGTAAGGCCTCATGAGATATTTTACTCTGCCCTTATATTTTGGTGTTTGGTTTGCTATTTATTATTTTTATGGATAATTTAGGTGTTTTGAGCTGGGCAGGGGGCTAATTTTTTTTACATGCTTCTTACACAATGTAGGAGAATGTGTTTTTTGTTTTGAGACTTATTTTAGAGGAACAATGGAGGTCATCCTTTATGTTCCCACCAACATCTAAAGTGGGGCTTTGGTATTAGGTAGAGAGCCTTCTTTCTCTTTGTCTGCATTCAGTCTGTGAAGCTCCTTGCTTTGGAAGGCCCATGTTTCTCACTCCCCCTGGTGACCTTCCACTGCCATGTGAAAACCTTTCTACTTTAGAAAGATGTTTGGGCTGTGGTAATCTGCTTTTATTTTTACCCCTGATTGTATGTTTCGTTGGACACACACAGGGTGTTTCAATTTTTTGTGGTACAGTCTTGAATTTTACCTGCCATATCATCTTTTATCTCAGTTTTTTGTATTCTAATTTTATTAGCTTTAAGGGTTTTAGGCTGCCTTGGACATCTTATGGAAATGTGGAGTAGAAATAATTTAATTACTACATGTATTTGTTTGCCAACAAGTCACCATAGCTGTGCACACTTGTGAAAAAACAATATTATAGGATGACACAGAGAGCACAACCAAGTAACTCTTTTTCTTTTATTTGATCAGGATTATCACCTGCCCAGGAAGCTATCAGTACAACGAACAGATTTCTGGCAAGCAGTGCATGGGTCATATTATCTCCAAAGGTCTGCTTTAAGAAGATTAAGGTACTGGCTGTGGATTCTATTAATAGGGAGGGAGGTGAAATCCAGCATAAAAGGTCATGCATGTCAGTGATCCAAACTAGCAGCAAGGCAAGGGTAGTGTCACACTGAAATGTGAAGAGGAGGATCTCAGCTGCACAAGGAATGACAGAAGGAGGTTTCTAATGATACAAAACACTGAACAATGTAAGAACTCTGGCTTCTTATTCTGGGCATGGAGATGTCTTCAAGGTGAGAAAAATGGAACTGTATCACATTGATGTATACATATATACATATATATATATATATATATATATATTTGCTTTCGTAGATTTTCACGGGTACAGGAATGCAGGTTTTGGTGTCCTCGGGTGTCTTCCCGTGTAAAAGTTGGGGTGTCTAGGCGACGTTTCGACGAGGTCTCACTCGTCATCTTCAGGCTGGTGCTTTCGGCTTCTTGTTACTGGAACAGAGCAGGATCTCAGTGTTTGAGTTCCTATAAATACTGTTGAGGGGGTGTGGTGTATAGCCTCCAATGTTCTGGGCAGAGAGGAAGTTCCCAGGCTAGTGTGCCTTTTCTTCTTTTGTTCCTTAATTACTTGAGGGATATCTTGAGTGATTTCTTGAGTGATATCCTGAGTACCACTGAGTATCACTAATGACCCACCTAAGTGGTACTCAGGATATCACTCAAGAAATCACTCAAGATATCCCTCAAGTAATTAAGGAACAAAAGAAGAAAAGGCACACTAGCCTGGGAACTTCCTCTCTGCCCAGAACATTGGAGGCTATACACCACACCCCCTCAACAGTATTTATAGGAACTCAAACACTGAGATCCTGCTCTGTTCCAGTAACAAGAAGCCGAAAGCACCAGCATATATATATATATTTCCATTTTAACAATCCAATCAAACCTCATCATATATTCCGAATTATACATATTATATAATAATCAAACAGTCCAAATATTATGCCAAATTATAATTTTTCAGGGGGACTTCACCATGCTCTGAGGTCGGGGGGGATCTGATTATCTCATACTTCTACTGCTTTTCATAATCTTTCCCGATAGTTCACATAAGTCATTCTGATGTTAATCCTCGTTATTTTCCACAGCCTCTGAGTTCTTCTGGCAAGCGAGATAGCTCAAAACAGTGTTTCTGTGTGATTTTTATGTCCAAGATTCCCCTCCACATTGATGTATTCTTTACTTAGAAGAAGACTGGAGTCCCCATCCTTGGGAGGACACTACGTGACACCTGGAAGGTACAACAATCTGACTGTATCATTAACATGTACAGACTAGATTGCATTCCCAAGACTTTCTTAAGACCCCTCTAGACCTTTAATAATGGGTTTTTGTTCTTGTAGTTGTTGTCACTGCTGGAGTCTTGGCAAAGCCCCAGCCTGAACTGAAATGCCTTATTTCTCAAGATCTTTGTGGGAAAAACTAGTTCCAAATGGAATGATTTGCCAGAGGAGGTCTGTGTAGTGCTTTCCAAGTCACACCGATATCTATTGCTTGCCATGAAATGGTTTCTGGTAAGGGCAATAGCCATTTATTGGTCCTTGGCTAGCCTCGCTAGCTGCCATCAGAGGTAGGTTAGACAGAAAGTGACCCTAAGTCTCCCATTTTGCTTCATAGCTGAGCAGGGATTTGAAGCTGGCCTTTTGTCAACTCTGTCCAACATTGTGTTCATTGTGCTTAATTTTGGGGACTCACAACTAATGGCAGAGCTGGGCAGTGGTAGAATGTGGGGAACCAAATAATTCGTTGCATTTTGTTTTTATTATGTGCAGATCTCTCTTTTTTTACACCACCTATATTTTTTATGCCTTCCCCACCTGTAGTCTGAAGTAGTACAGTCCGTTCTAACACTTCCCCACCCCACCCTGCATGCTTGAATCAATAATTCAATAAAAATAAATTCTATGAATGCATGATGAAGCTAAAAAAAGAATAATTTCCCTGATACTGCCTTCTTGTTCCTTTTCAGTCTTAAAATTGGTGTATGGCACCATTAGCACAACAATCAGTCTAAAGCCATGGCTGCCATCTTTACCAACAGGACCCTGATTGTGAACAACAAGGACAAGGATAAGTTGGAGCTGGAACGTGAGCTAACTCGAGCATTGGAGAACAAGATTATGCTTCTGTATTTTGGCTCTGGTGAATGTCTTCGATGCCAAGAGTTTGCACCCATCCTGAAAGATTTTTTTGTGAGGCTCACAGATGAATTTTACGTGGAGAGAGCATCCCAGCTGGTCCTGGTCTTTGTCTCACTGGATGAGACTGAGGAGAAGCAAGACAAGTTTCTGAAGACCATGCCCAAGAGATGGTTGTTTTTGCCCTTCCAGGATGAATTCAGGAGGTAGGGATTCCAGTGCTTAGACAGCTTAGACAATGGCCAAATTCAAAGTGAGTCACCAGAGGCATATTTGCATAGTTTATGCATTGCCAGGGGTTGGGCTAGATGACCCTTGGGTCCCTTCCAACTCTTAAGATTCTATGATTCTATGACCTTTGCCAGGAGCTGCGGCATGGTTGTGCAGCACACCCATGTGGTGAACTGTTAAATTGCAAGGGGTAGCTTCTCCCTGAAATACCTTCATGCCTTGGACTGAGTTTTCGGGAGGTGTGGATAGGCTGGGCAGATCAGGACGAGGTGGGGGGGGGGAGTTGCTCAAGGACAACCACTGGGCGGGACACAGCAGAATAGGACCAACCATGTCAGAGTCCTGGAATAGCAAAAGTCCTCAGGGGAGGAGGGTCCTCCCCAGGGAGCATCCCAATGGGGTGCCTTTCCGCACCCTGCTCTGTCTCCCTGAAGCTCCACCCTTGCCTCCTGACTTGGCTTCACCTTCAGAGTAACCAGTGCCCACCGCCAGTCCACTTTCCCAAGAGGAGATCACTGTTCCCACTACTGAAGGTGGGAAAATGCATAACGTGGTGATGTCACAGTAAGTGATCCTATATGTTGCAGGGGAAAAGAGCTTGACACAGAGGTTTTTGGTGGCATCCCCATGATATATAATGTGCAGATATGCTCAGAGTTAGTAGCTGGGCAAAGGAAATGAGCAATCATCATGCAAGCAATTCGGTTTTGAAACTAACTAACTAACTAACAAGCAAAACCCATTGTTTTCCAGACTTCAAACTTTTATTCAAAACCTTGGAGCTTCATCTCTCTTTCTGTATTAACTTCCAGGGAACTGGAATTGAGATTTTCTGTGACAAACCCCCCAGTGGTAGTGGTGTTGAAACCAAACGGAGAAGTCATTGCTGCAAACGCAGTGGAGGAGATTAAGCAGGTGGGCCCTGCTTGCTTCAGGAACTGGCAGGAGGCAGCTGACCTGGTGGAGAGGAACTTCCTCCTGGCCCAGGACTTTGACAACGTGGCTCTGAGGAGCATCATGGATCCCATCCGCCGGCTCAAATACAAGCTTGCAAGCAACAAAAGCAGAAAGGGAAGCAAAGACGACTACGAAGAAGAAGTGTTCTCCTGACAGGACATTTCTTCCCATGGTAGCTTTGTTGTAGGTGAGCTTAACTCTTCCCAACCCATGGCCTGTGTGCAGGATAATGATTGTTACCTACAAGCACAGAAATTGTTACTGAGAACAGATTTCAGGCTTCTGAAAATCTAAGTGCCTTTTACTTTTCTAAAAAAAAAAAATTCTAGCCTTTATGACTGTGAAGATAGTCATGAAAGTGTGTGGACAATATCTTGTGAAAGCATAGAATTTGGGAGTCTGGTGGGTGAGGGTTCATGCAGATTTTCAGTGGCTCCTGGGAACTGTAGCATTTGCCCCTTCCACTTGAATAGCAGAAGACGCCTGTAATGGGAATGGAGGTTGCTTGTGCGTAAACTTCCCAACCGTTCCACGCTGGTTGAAAAGCTAAACCTTTCCCTGGTTTGACAGCCCTCACAACGCAACTGTCTCAATCACTGGCAGAATCCGTCAGTGGGCGTTTCCTGAACTTCTTCCAACATAAGAATTCCTTGACAGCAAGTCTCCGCCTAGCTTCTCTGCGCGGAAGCCTTCTGCGCAGAGTGGGCGTGCCAAGCGGAGGTCCTGCACTCTCCCCGCTGATCTCACTGGAAGAGTCCCTGAGCCTTCCCTCCGAAGTACTCTCAGCCTCCCCTTTCTTCCTGGTGTCACCTTGATTTCCTTCCCCAGCGGAAGCTCTCTCTCTCTCCTTGCTAGTTCCCTCCCCTGCATCATTGGGGCGACTTCTCTCTCCGCTAGTCTCAGATGTCAGTTCCCTGACATCCACCTCCCTCCCAGGCCCCTCCCCCTCCCCTGTCCGTCCCTGGGACGGTGAAGCGGGAAACCCCCGGAAGGAGCTATCCTCTTCCTCAGATGATTCCAACACCGCTCTCCACCTGCTGCTGTCTCTTTCCGCTGCCAAATCTCCCCAGTCGGATTCCTCCCCTTCGGATCTCTCCCCTTCCTCCTCTTCGGAGGCGGGAAATCCCACAAACTCTTCTTCATCCTCCGTGTTGCCAAATTGCTCCTCCCAGAACCTCCCTAATGGCTTGGGCTTCCTTGGGAACCTGCGATGAAACTCCTCCTGCAGATACTCATCCCTGATCTCTTCCGCAGGAACCCAAGTGTTCTCCGATTCGGGCTCCCCCTCCCAAGCCACCAAATATTCCACCCGCCTCCCTCTCCACCTTGAATCGAGAATTTCAGCTGCATGACTACTGAGTTCACTTTCCTCCACCCGTGGATGCATGGGTGTTTCTCTTTCTTGTCCTAGAAATTCCCTCCCTTCCCTGTACGGTGAGAGTAAGGACCTGTGGAACACCGGGTGCAGTTTCATGTTGCTGGGCAATTTGAGTCTAAAAGCCACAGGATTCACCTGTTGTGTTACCTCGAAAGGTCCCAATCGTCTTGGCCGTAATTTCTTACACCCCCCTTTGAACGGTAACCCTTGGGTAGACAACCACACCTGGTCCCCCACTCTTATAGTTTCCCCTTCTCTGCGGTGCTTGTCTGCCTGCCTCTTGTACGCTTCCTTTGCCCTCTCCAGGTTAACCCTAAGTTGTTGGTGTAAAGCCTCCATTTCTTCCACAAATTGTTCGGCTGCCGGTACACTCCCCCTCCCCTCCCCCTCCCCTGGGAAGGCCCTGGGGTGACACCCGTAATTGGCCATGAATGGACTCATCCCCGTGGACACATGTTCCGCATTATTGTATGCAAATTCAGCCAGCGCTAGTTTGTCCACCCAATCGTTCTCCCTTTCGTTGACGTAGCAGCGTAGGTACTGTTGAAGTATGCTATTAGCTCTTTCTGCTTGTCCGTTGGTCTCTGGGTATCTGGCCGTCGAGAAGCTCACCTCGACGTCCAGCAGGCTCATGAGCTTCCTCCAGAATCTGGAAGTAAATTGCCTGCCTCTGTCGGACAAAACCCTCAAGGGGGCACCATGCAACCTGAAGACATGATTAACAAACAGCCTCGCTGTTTCTTCTGCTGTCACTGCATGCGAGCACGCAATAAAATGGCACATTTTGGTCATCAAGTCAACTACCACCATGACTGCTGTTTTCCCCCTGGACTTGGGTAAATCGGTCATAAAATCAATTGATACCACTTCCCATGGTCTTTCTGGTGTGGGTAAGGGTTCCAGTAACCCCACGGGTGCTGCCCTCTCCCTTTAGCTCGCTGGCAGCGCTCGCACCCCCGTACGTATTCCCGCCCATCTTCCCTCACCCTTGGCCACCAGAACTGCCTGGTGACAAGCAACATGGTTTTGTGTTGACCGAAATGTCCCGCCGTGGGGTTGTCATGAAGTTGTTTGAGTATTCTTCTCCTCAAGTCCCCTTCTGGTATGTACAACGCTCCCTTATAGTACAAAACCCCCTCCTTGACCTCAAAACCCCCCTGATTTTCTTCTGCATCTCGGATCTCCCTGATTTTGGTTTGGGCGTACTGGTTATCCCTCGTCCACCCGGCTAGTTCTTGTCTCCCTACCAACACTCCCCCCCACACCCATCGGTCCTCGGGTATGACATGACGTACTTCCGGCACTCCCTCTCCTTCCAAGTACTCCGGTTTGCGGGAGAGAGCGTCTGCTCTGACGTTTTCCTTCCCCGGCACGTACCTAATCTCAAAAAAAACTTGGAAAACTCCTGTGCCCATCGCACCTGTCTTTGGTTCAGGACTCGCGCAGTCCTCCAATATTCCAGGTTCTTATGGTCCGTGCACACCTGGATCTTGTGCTGTGCACCTATTAGAAAATGTCTCCAGCGGCGAAAAGCCTCATGAATTGCCAGCAGTTCCCGGTCATACACCGTGTAGTTTTGTTCTGACTTGTTCAGCTTTCTAGAGAAAAAGGCGCACGGCTTCCACTCTCCCCGATTTCCCGGCTGGAGCAATACGGCTCCCACTGCTCTGTCTGACGCGTCTGTCTCCAGCCTCATCGGCTTCTGCAGATCTACGTGTAAGAGTTGCTCTTCCGAAGCGAACGCCCTCTTTAGCTTTTCAAAGGACTGCCGAGCCTCTTCCGTCCATTCAAACTTCTTTTTGCTGCTGAGGCAATCGGTTATGGGCACCGTTAAGTGGGCGAAGTTCTTGATGAACTTCCTATAAAAGTTTCCAAACCCCAGGAACCTCTGCACGTCCTTCCGGTTCTTGGGAGTCTTCCATTCTAGCACTGCCTGCACCTTGCCTGGGTCCATGGCTAAGCCTTTGTCCGACAACCTGTAACCCAGGAACGCCACTTCTCAGGCGTGGAATTGGCATTTCTCCAATTTGACCCACAGCTGGTGCTCCTGCAGCCTTTTCAGCACTTCCCTGACGTCCTTTACATGCTGCTCCTCGTTCTCTGAGTAGATTAGCACGTCGTCCAAGAAAGCTACGCAATTCTTGTACAGCAGGGACCCCAGCACGTGGTGCATGAAAGCTTGAAATGTGCTTGAGCCTGATTGTAATTCGAAAGGCATAACTAAGTACTCAAAGGCCCCCAGAGAGGTGAACATGGTGGTTTTCCATTCATCCCCCTCCCTCATCCTTATCAGATTGTATGCCCCCCGAAGGTCCAACTTGGTAAACACCTTCCCTTTCCTTACCCTGGTCAAAATGTCATCAATTCTGGGCATTGGGAAGGTCACTGGTTCCGACACAAGGTTTAACGCCCTGAAATCTACGACCAATCTGGGCTCTTTAGAGTCTCTCTTGTCCACAAAGAACACTGGACTGCCCCCCACTGCCCTTGATTCTCGTATGAAGCCCCTCTTCAGGTTCTTGTCAATAAACTTCCGCAACTCCTGCATCTCCCTATCCGACATGGCGTACAGCTTACCCACTGGCAGCTGAGCCCCTGGGAGTAGGTTGATCTGACAGTCAAAGGGCCTTTGAGGGGGTAGTCTATCCGCCTCCTTCTCACTGAAGACCTCTTCCAGGTCAGCGTACTGAGGTGGTATTCTCCCCTTTTCTCCTACCGCCATCCCTGCCACCCTGGCTACTGCCATCCTTGGGTCCCCCCCCCCCGTGGCAGTGCTCTACGCAGTGGGCTGACCCAAAGGTGACTGTCCGCTGGTGCCATCCTACTACGGGATCGTGCAGTGCCAGCCAACTCATTCCCAGTATGATTGGTGGTCCTGCTAGCGTGGCTACATGAAAGGCAATTGTCTCAGTGTGTCTGGAGACCCTCATTTTCATGGGAGGGGTCTGGTGGGTAACTCCCCCCCCCAGGAGTTCTCTCCCATCAATGGTTGTTACTTGCAAGGGGTGTTCTAGAGGCACCACGTGGAGCTGGTGTTCTAGTGCAAAATCCCTGCTAAAGAAGTTGCAAGAGCTGCCTGAATCCAGCAGCGCCTTCACCTTAATTGGGTGTCCGTTGGGGAGTTCTAGCACCACCTCTATGGCTGCTCGGGGAGGGTCTGGTTTGGGCACTTCTACTGGTTGCTCGCCTGGCTGCTGTGCCCGCTCTCCTGTAGCCAAGCATTGCCGTTTCCCTGCTCTCTATCTCTTTCCTCCTCACTCCCAACTGCCCCCACCATTCCTTGCCACGCCTTTTTCTGAGGGCAGACTCTGGCAAAATGTCCTGGCTGCTGGCAGAGAAAACACTTCTTATTCGTTTTCCCCTCCTTCTTGTGAACCTCGCTGGAGTTTGAAACCCCGCGCGCGCGCACTCCTCCAATCTCCAATGGTTCCGCGGGCGGCGCAGGTGGCTCCAGCACATCTGGAATGCGGTTGTCATACCAACGCTCTGCTCTCCCTTCCCGCCTTTCTAGAGCGCGCGCCTCTTGGCGTACTCCCACAGCAAGCGCCATTTTGGTCAGCTAGTCCATCGATTCCGGACGGGGTGAGCGGGAAAGCTCATCTTTTACCCAAGGGGATAAGCCTTCCTCAAATAACATTTGCACTGGTTCTGAAGCCAGTTCCCAACCAAGTTTATGGATCAACATCGCAAACCGCGACCAGTACTCTCTAACTGATTGGTTCCCTTGTTTGCACCCCATCAGTTCTTTGCGGGCCACGCTTTGCTCCACATCACTCGAGAACATATGGTCCATGGCGCTAAAAAACTTTCTCAAATCCTTCAGAGCAGCATTCTCCGCCGCCATTAAGGGTCTGATCCAATCTCGGGGCCCCCCCTTCCAGGTGCCCTACCACAAAAGCGACCCTCCCCCCCATCGTCTACAAAGTCATCATACTGCAGGTCCAGCGCATACTGCACTTCTGTCTTAAATGCATTATAATCTCTGGGATTGCCCCCAAACTTCTGCACTAGTCCTGGTACCTTCCTTGCGATGGGGGTGGGCTTCCCCTGGGCATCCTGAGTCCGCCTTTCATCCAGCCGCGCCGCTAGTAAAGCCAGTTGCTGCTCCAAATCTCTGTTTCTCTCCTCCAGAGTGGGTCCTCCTCTGGCCCCCTCTCCGGCGCCGGCTCCTCCGGTTTGACTCATGATGCTGCCCCTGCTGCTCTGCGCACAAGCAACTTAGAGGACTGACGGATTGCTGTAATGGGAATGGAGGTTGC